ACTTTCATGAGGTATACTATTTTACATTTAACAGTCATGGTACAGTAATGATAATGTGTAACACTGAAATAAGTTTTGGTACTTAAAATTAACCATAGGTGTATGTAATAATTTGGGAACTAAGTAGCAAAAGCACATTAAGATCTTGAGACTGAACTATTTCCCCATTCTACCATTGTTTCATACTTGTATTAAAGACAATAGTGAATGCCACGTTTCACTCTGGGCGGGGGGGGGGGGGGGGTTCAAAGTATTTACTGGCACACCTTTTAGTTGAATTAGTAGAACCAGTGTATATGAGTTAAATTCCAGCTATTATTCACACTTTATTTAAAGATAAGCCCATCAACCCTATATGACCTGCCTAGTCATGCAGTAACTTAATGGCAGAGCTTAAAATTGAACTCAAATAACATGAATTTAAAGTACCTCCAAATGTAAAATGAGGCAATCACTAAATGACCTGTAATATAATGTCCCTTCGAGTTTGAGGACTAGTTCCATGATTATGAATATTGGTTTAAATAAGATCTGGAATACTTTTCTGCCAGAATTGCCATGTTGTAATATTTAACAGCATTTAACCAATATGCTTCTAATAACCCATTTTCATCAAATATTCAACTAGTAAAACAGGTGTGGGAAGTTGGAAGGGTCTTCAAAGAGATTGTGAATTTAAAGGAAATTATGTCCAAATTCTTGACTCTAAGCAACTCATTGAGACAAGCAGAGTGCTAAAACAGCGAATGAGTATGCAGTGAGTTGACCATGGAAGGTCATAGATGCCATGTTAAAGAACTTTCATTGGGGTGCATCGAAGGGATTTTAAAAACATGGAGTGCTATCAAGTTGGCATTTTTATAGCTAGATCATGCTGAATCTCAAGATGGTTTTAGATTCATGCATTAAAAACAGGTACTGAAGTCAGGTGAAAGGCAGGAGCTAAGAATATTTGAAAAGTATCGAGGTGATAAAGCCATCTTCAGAGTCTAATAGTTTGAAGATGAATGCTAAAACTCTGGAGAATATGAACACTTAATGGATGTTTGGCTGTAAGATCTGTTGATTCTCTTTAGAAAGATGTGTCATAGTAGGTAAAGCAAAGTTCCATAAGCATGTACTTGATTCCCAAGCCTCCCCCGCTTTTATTTTGGTTGAAGGTAGTGAAACCTCAGAGCAGTAATACCTAGCCCTATAAAATATGGAAGGTAGGAATAAAAGAAATGAGGCAGTGACTTGTTTTATTGCTATTATTGGCTCTTCTTTGCGTAAAAGGATATGAGAATAGGACATGGTTGATTTATAGCCCATGAGGATGTCCTAAATGGTGCTCCTTGTGATGGATGTTGACACTCCTCTGATCATATCCCTATAGATTAACGGTCATTGAGATATCCTTTAAAATCTTGTGTTGGCATAGTTTTGGCAATCAACTCCTAGAATAGGACCCAAACTCACCCCATCTGACCTTATGTCTACTTTTTCCTTAGAAAATGTCAATGTCGCCTGTTTATGTTCAACATCTTTCAAGAACTCATTCACGTAACCTTCCCTAATCAAAGAATCCCATTTCAGTTCAGGTTAAGCTATCACTCTTAACCTGTACCACTCATCTGGTACTTACTAATTATACTGTCTTTAATATTCACATGTTGGGAGTATTGATGTCCTATTAAGAGTGCACCTAGAGAGTAAGTTATTTTTACTATGATTCTCTTAAGGAGATTGATTTCCTGTAAACACTTTTTAACCTGGCTTTTCAGGGATTGGCAACAATTGTACTAAATAACAGACGTTTCATAACTTTTTCCCCAATTAGCCTAAGAGGAATTCTTATCATTAACATCTATTTTTGTAGTCTCTTTATGACACATATAATAAAATTTACCCACTAGGTATCAGGCTGCATTTGATGCTTAGGATTTTCTGACATTAAAAAAAAAAAATCTAATTACAAGAAAACTATCCAACTTATTCTAATTCCTCCCTCTAAATTCATTGGAACTGAGGTGCATTATCTCAAACTCATGTAAAACATTCATGTATTAAGATTTTTATTATTACAGGCACCTATTTTATAGCTTGTTTCAAACTTTAGTTGGATGTGGAACCCTGAAGCAATTTCCTCATTCTGTACTGTAGAAATAGTGACATCTCCAGACAGACCCACAGAAAACCTAAGCGGTTTTGACACTGTCCAATAAGACTAAAGTACTTTAGAAACCATGAATTAACAAGCTCTGTATGAGACCACTCTACTAGAACTCTCTAAGGCCATCAGATGGTTGAAACTGCTCTCACTCTCAATTGTAATTATTTCCAGTTCCCAATTCTTACCCCTAGGTGACTCATAACCATTCTTCATCCCAGTGATTTCCCCTAGTCTGCCACTGCCTCTCAAGTTACTCTCCCACTTATTCTACCTGCACTATTCTCTGCCATTTGATCAATAAATTTATTAGATGGAATTCATCTAAAAGACACAATAATTAACTGAGTAAAATGACAAAAAAAACTATGGCGTGGAAAGGGAGTCCTCTGTTAGAATATATAGTATCCCCACCCCTTTCTGTTACTCAGTACTGTCAAGCACTGATGCTTGGGCAATAGACACTGGGACTCCATGGATACTGTATGGCCTTTACATTGGGAGAAAAGTATTCTAATTATTAAAGAGAAGGTTTCACAAATAAAACTTTTATCTTTCCCGAACTAAAGCATAGTGAAAATCTCAAGACTGTAGTGTGGCACAGATGTGCATACAAAATGTTAATTATTTTGTGCCTACAAATGACAACTTCAGAACTATTAACACTTTAGTTCTTAGTGGTTTGGGGAAAACAAGTGTTTCTTTTTCTTGGCCCACTTTTGTAAAGGAAGAAGATGTTGATGTCAAGCCTGCAAAAAGAAGTGAGGCTCCATTTACTCATAAAGTGAATATGAAAGCTAGATTTGAACAAATGGCTAAGGCAAGAGAAGAAGAAGAACAAAGAAGAATTGAAGAACAAAAGTTACTACGTATGCAGTTTGAACAGAAGGAAATTGATGCAGCACTACAGAAGGTACCAGGCAAACATATACTTTATTTTTCAAAAATGGTCTTAAAAACCATAGTTGTGAGGGATTAAAAAACCCCATTTTATTAAGTCACTGAAATGTTTTGTAAACATTTCATACTCTATTTTTACTGTACCTTTCCTATGTTTAGATGCTTACATATTCAAATACCAGTTACAAATGCCTACAGTATTCAGTACAGTAACCTGCTATACAAGTTTGTACCTTAGGAGCAATAGGTTATACCATCTACGTTTGTGTAAGTGTACTCTAAGATGTTTACACAATAACCAAATCACCTGATGATGCATTTCTCAGAACATACCCCGATGTTAAGTGGTGCACAATCATACTACATGCTCTTTACTCTGGGGGAAAAATACATTTACCTTCAAGACTCATTAAACCACTGTCCAGAAAATGCTGTTATAGTGTAAATGATAACTTGAATGCACTTATTTTAATATAGAAAAGAGAAGAGGAGGAAGAAGAAGAGGGTAACATCATGAATGGCTCCACTACTGAAGATGAAGAGCAAACCAGATCAGGAGCTCCGTGGTTCAAGAAGCCACTAAAAAACGTATCCGTTGTAGATAGTGAGCCTGTCAGATTTACGGTTAAAGTAACAGGAGAACCGAAACCAGAAATTACATGGTGGTTTGAAGGAGAAATGTTGCAGGATGGAGAAGACTATCAATATATTGAAAGAGGAGAAACTTACTGCCTTTATTTACCAGAAACTTTCCCAGAAGATGAAGGAGAGTATATGTGTAAAGCGGTCAACAATAAAGGCTCTGCAGCTAGTACCTGTATTCTTACAATTGAAAGTAAGAATTAATCACTCTTTTAATCTAATATTTACATTCTATTTAAAGGTTTTTTTTCCCTTAAAAAAAAAATCCCTTTTCTTCTTCTTTTTTAGCTGACGACTACTAGTTCCCCTTCCCTCTGCCTGGAACTCTCTCTCTCTCTCCGACTTTCTTACTACATCCATCTTTTATGTGGCGGGGCCAAAAAAGGAAACCAGTTGACTTCTTATTCCTTTTCATAACAGTCTTCAAAACACAAGCTCATCTAAAGAACACCTTTTTCCTTTCCAAATGAGTACCAGACTCATCATCATATTAAGCAGAAGTAAATGTGTATTTAACAGGAAAAGGGGGAAATGTACTCAAATGTTGTATCAGATCCTACTATAAAAGCTGTGCATTTCCTGTAAGTTCACAGCAGTATGTTTAAAAATCATAAACACATTATTTTGCATGAAAGAATGCCTTTTATGAGCTATCTACACCTAAACCTAGTCTGAAAGAGATGAGACAGTGAATTGGAACCTATCAATTTGAGTAGGAGTTTTCCCTCAGAGGCACATCATTTTGACTGTTATAGTTTCAGTCTTTCTGAAGCCGATGTATGAGGTGGATGGGGTATATCATTCATGGAGAAAAACACAAAAATTAGAGATTTTTAAGAAACAAATGCCAGAGAAAATTAGATGAAAACCATTGCTGATACACAGTTCTGAGTGTTGAAAATAATATTAAATGTACTTTTCAAATGTGTGTAACATATATTCAGACTTGATGTTGAACCTTGCCTGAACAAGTTATATTTCAATGAGAAACTTTTATTAGTAGTCATACAGGAAAAACCACTTCCAACGTAATTGAAGGTTTCAAGATCTATGAGGATTAGATTAAGGAAAAAAAAGGCAAAATCTTTACGTTTCAATTCTGGCCTTTAAATGAGTTTGTAAATAATTAGCTACCATGTTCTATTATCAAGTTGTTTTATATTTTAATTTTCTGGAAAGTTTTATTTTACAATGTAAACCCATAATAAAGTAACTTCTATATTAAAAAAAAGTCTCAGTATTTTAGAAAAGAGACAAAACACTCCCTTATAATATTAATCAATGTACATTTATTTTTTTATTGAGTAAACCATAACAAGATTACAGCAATCATGTGTACTTTTACATACAATGTCATTAAAGCAAACTCTAAACCACAGTTTGTAAAGTATTCAATTTACCTCAAGTCCAAGCTGCATCTCCCTAAGACACTGTTCCCATCACAGTAGCCATTTTAAGCCAATCTTCTTTTTACACACGGGTAGTTTCTGTAGAGAACACTTTTCTCAGGACGAAAATGCATTGAGCATGCATAAGAAAAAATATATATATGCGCAAATACATATAAGAGTTTCTATAGGGGTATCAATGAAGAAAATAAAACCCTAGGATTTATGTGCTTCCTAGAAGCACCAATTTAAACCAATTAAAAAAATTCCTCAGAAGTTTATACTGTGGCAATAAAACTCAAGTGACTAAACAAAAAATAAGGTTATTTTCAGAGTCAAAATTAACTAGGTATTGTTAAAATACATTTTAAAATGAGGCAGAATTTTCAGAAAATAAAAATACATCCTCACTGATTAGCAATTTCTACACCCCTATTTTAGACATAGATAACTTTGCAGATAGAACCGATTCCTCTGGCAGAGTATTCACACAAATGAAATGTTATCTCTTCTGCATATATTCCTACTTCCCCCTTAAGGAACTCTGCTACTCCTACCCAAACCCACCCATATGAATTAACTACCAAGGTATTTGTCTAAGGATATATTTTACAATGTTTAGAAACAACTAATATTAAATAACTAGTTTTAGTATTAAAACCATTTTCATTAATTAAAAATAAAAGCATACTTCTCATTTCTAAAAGAAACATCAAAACATAAGAATTCTAAGCACCACCACACTAAGGTATCTTGAAAAAAAAAACACATTGTCAAGTTTTTAAGTGCTAAATAAAATAAATCAGTTCAATTTCAATCTAAACTAAACATTGTTTCTAACACTCCTAACATCCACTGCATTCAAACCGACTGGCTCACCTTTTCTGCTTTCCATTTATTGTAAGGTTAAGATTAGCGCCATTAAAAAAAATGCTTGCAGTATCAGTGAAGGCTTATGGTAATGATAAAAAATTCTCGTAAGACAGAAACAATGCCCCAATATCTATTAGCATTCATCTATATATTCTTTTGTAAAAATGCAAACTACAGCTAACCCCATCTTGACAAGCTCTTAAAGTTCAAAGAGCTCCTTCATATCATCAATCTTAACATACCTATCATTGACTATCAAAACACATACACACACACACACACAAATGTGGTGCAAACTACATAACTTATGAAACTTAACAGTTCATGGAACATTTAAGAGCAAGTGAATAGCACTTAAAAATGAAGTGATCAAAAGCAGGTACATTACACCCTATACCATATTATGTATGGGAATACATTTCATATTTCTCAATTATGATTCGCCAATTTTACCTTCTACATTGAGCCCTTCTATGGTCCATGCTCATCGGCTCACCAATGGCATACACTCAAAGGATTCCTCTTTATGGGTAACTATCTCAGGACCTGATTTTATGAGCTATGATTTGGTGCTTGCAGCATCTTCAGCACTGTGTGTGAAAATGAAGGCAGTATTTTTGAATATTTTTCTTTGTTGTAGAGATAAGCAGGAGTTTTAAAAGGATCAGCACATTTTAGAAATTGAATAAACAAAATTGATACGATGCTGCTTTAAAACATTCATCTTAACTCAAAATATGTACCAGTTAAAATCATCTATAAGAACACACAAACATTTTAAACTGGCAAAAAGAAAAAAAAAAAATGAAATAAATTCAGCGTCAGTTATTAAAGTATTATAAATCAGAAAAATACTGGTTGCTATACAGATTATGAAAAGTTATTTGCTATACAGTTAACATTTCACTGATGCACATGCCTTTTATCAAAACATACTGCCAGTATTCTTTATAATTTTTTCCTTTTTCAGTGTATATAAAAGTTATAAAACCCGAATTGTCTAAAAAGGAGTCACAATAAAACTCTCACCCATAATGTCCTTACTGAATCTAGTTCAAGAATAAGAAAAAAACAGACTCCATTTCTTTGGAGGGAAAAGAAAATGTCCTGTCAATCTTAAACAGATTGTGAAGGCTGTTGAAGTTTCTGACCAAGTGACTTCCTAAATCTTAAAATCTATGTAATTGTCCTTTCTTAATTTTAACAATTCTACTATATTTGGGAAAAGATTACAAAAAGTTTGGATGTAGTTCAATTACAGCAGCAATCCACTCATTTCTTTCATTTTAATAAAAAAATTAAAAGAAAAAAAAAAACATTACCCAGAAATGTAAACAGTTGTTTTAACAACTTACAGACTTTCCACTGAAATAGTAGCATAAATAAACAAAATACACTTTGGGGAAGCAGTAGCAGATTGCTCTTGAATACACAACCACAAAAACCTCACAGGGACAACATTAATGTACTGAAATATTTATTTATATATGTCCTTAGGTTGTGCTTACCTGTTGCTTTTTGCAGCAGAACCTAAGGTGGAAGGTCTGGGAAGGCACTGTGAAGCATAAATAATTGCACTGTTTGCAATTAATAAAGATTTTAAACCTTAAATGAATCAAAATCAACAGCCTCCAATTTGTGAGTTATGATACTGAATCCAACTGAACTATTTCTTCAGTTTAATTAATAAAGGTACCACTTTCCTAAAAGGTCATCTATAAAACAGTATCATGCAAAATACTGAAATTGTTCATGTCAATACCCTACTCTTTAAAGATAACAGATAACTAACTCCTTAACTGTAAAGCTTCAAACTAGAACTACATATCCATATCTACGTAAGGGTAAGGGAAGTCACTCTAAGTTCTACAAAACAATCAAAAACATTTCAAATTATCCACAATGAACTGTACTGCTAATTTTCTACTCTAGGTAATCTCAGCATTAATCTTCTTGTACATCTTCCTTTACAGTATATTCAAAACAACAAATGGTGCTCCCCCTCAATGAAAGAATAAATATTTATGAAATGGTGTTATAACTGCTACATTGCTTTAAATATTTGCAAACTGAAAACCACTTCTGTCTGATACATTTCAACTCTTTCATTATTAATATATAAAATATGCATATTTCACACTGAAAAACAATATATTTAAGGAGCACCAATGAGTAATACTATTCAACTTTGTTAATGATCAATTTTCTTTAGCTATAGCTAAAGCATATAAAAAATACTTACCCATTAAGCTCACTTTAAAAAAAAAAACAGACCTATGTATTATTCTATGTTAAATTAAGAAGCAGTTATGGTTTTCCAAGATATCAGCACTGTATTCCAACATAATATTCACACAAAGTATGGCATTTACATTATGTGGAACATTGACAAAAAGATACTGTTGCAGTTCATCAATTTGTCATTCTGATGTACTTACAGTGCAATGCTCCTTGAAGGAACACAATCAAGGATGATACACAGCACAGTCCTCCTCACCCCTACAGAGCTAGTTCTATACTGGCTGGATCAAACCTGCACTTCAACAGACAATGGCAAGACAGACTGTATTTGCATGTAGTCTAATATATTAATATGCAAAGAGCCAACAAATATGCAGAGTAAAACAATGGATTTCAACAAAATATCAGAACTTCAGCATGAGTGTTAGAGTTATAAAATGATTTCAAATACATAAAAAAATTAAGTTGATTCAATGACTGGACTTGTGCATTTACAAAACAAAGCTTATCTATACTGCAAAAAGAAAAATAAAGAAAAGAAAAAAGCTCGAACATTTCCATACGCCAATAGTATTTCAATGGCAGATGCATTGTAGCTATTATACTTTTTGCATACTATTCACTTTTCTACCCTAAGTTTAGGAAGAAACATACTAATATCGTATACATTGAAAGACTTGCTTTACATGAAAGAACTGTTCTTATTAAGCTACTCATATTCACTATCTGAAAACTGTTTAAAATTAGTTATGCTGAAACAGTCTTGGAAATCAAGTAATTATCAAATTAAGAACAGAAAGGTTAACTGTTATAGCAGCAGTACAGGTCTGAAACAGTGGCCATGTATAAAAGGAAATTTCACTGTTAATGCAATGGAAGTATGCCAAAAGATCATTGTACACACATGCAGTTTTTAACCAAACAGAAGGAAAAAAATGAAGATATCAGGATTACTTGTGCTGAAACAGCCAAATATAATAAATGGAAAAGAGTCTCCAATCTATTTCTATACTGCAAGGGGGAAAAAACATGCCAGTGTTTAAAAATTCAATTAATAGTTCATGGGGAAAGCTTATATATTTGTGTTTATGTATCTTATCATTGCTAAGAAATTATGAATCCTTCAAATACCCACATATCCAACTTACCGACACAGGAGGTTTCATATCATTTATTGTAAAGCACAAAACAGGCATTTTAAAAGTGAAAGTATACATTGAAAAAGTACATTTATATCACAAAGCATTGACCACATAATAGTTGCAAATACATTTGCTGGAATGTGTACATCTACACTAAATACTAAAAACAAACCAATTTTCATTTCTACACAGAAATATTAACCTCCTATCAGTAGTGATAGATATTTTTGTACATTTTCAAAAAAAAAAAAAAAAAAAAACACTATTTTAAACCAAAAACAAAATTAAGATCTTCATCAAGTCGTCTGCATCCATATATTTAACAAAGGTATTTTTCCCCCACACAATGAAGCAAATACTGTATTGTCCACTTCTTATTATTGGCCCTGTGCAGAAGAGATACATAAGAAATACACAAAAAGTTAAAGAAAATCCTTTAAATGGAGCTAACTCAGGAGTGAATCCTTTAAGAAAGAAAAACTGGTTAATATAAATGGTGGTGGCTTCTTGCATGATTTGCAAATCCCTGGGGGAAAAAAATTTATTTTTAAAATGAAAGGCATTATACAAATATTCAGCACTCAGATGCCAGAAAGCATTATTAAAAAAAACCAAAAACCCAAACAGTATATGACAGTCCTTCATTTAGTTATACTTTGCCATATTTAAATGAAAAAGGCAAACATAATCCCAAACAGACATGACAGTAAACATGCAGAAAACATGATTGGAGTTTTTAACATATCAGCAAATTTATTATACCTGAGGTGCTGGAGGATGCTGTGGCATTCCCTGGGGACTTGTCTGGGCATAGTAGGCTGCTTGCTGTCTGTAGTACTCAGCCCAGGCTGCACTATAATCTGGCTGACCACCTGGTGGAGCACCAGTAGGAGCAGGAACTGCCTGACCTTTGAAAAAAACAGAACACTTTGTTTTACAAATTAAAAGCCTAAATTAAAAGCAGCTCATTTCTAGTAAAGACAAGACCTTGCTTCTTGTAAGACTCCTGCCAAGCCTTTGAATAATCCTGTGTCTGCCCTTGCTGACCTAAAAAAAGCCCTGTTCAATTTTAATACAAAATTTTATCTACTGTAAGTACAGTTGATAAAGACAAAAATCAGAGGATCAAAATGGCTTCTGTTTTAAGTATTCACTAGTGTCAGAAAACAACTCTGTAATTAAAAAAAAAAATTTAGAATGTTTGTTTTTTTTTGCCTTACCCTACTTATTGCTATTAGAAACAAAAACCATCCACCATCCATAGTTTTAACTAACAAGGGTAAAAATGTAGGCATAATGTAACTATTAATGTTCTAAATTGAGTTTGAAAAGTACCTCATGGCCAGCTATAATTTTTTTTTAAACATTCATGATTCATGTAAGCAGTCTATGGTTCCCTCGCAGTGATTAGTGGACTGGAGGGCATTATTTTTTTGATCTCTTATTCATTTGGATATGCTACAGTACAGGTTTTATATAAAATGCAAATCCTCAATAGAGAAAAAATATTTTTTAAGGAACCAAATAATCCACTTAAAAGCTATTACTTAAAGACTATTATTTTAAGATCTGGCTAAGATTTCTGTTTCCTGATTAGTAACCTATAAACTATGTACATAAGACTAACCTTTAAGAAACTCTGTAATAAGATGTTTAAAGTTTTAATACAGTGTGTTCAAATTACAACACAATTTTATTAAAAATAGTCTTATGAAGGGAATAAAGAACAATTACCGAAGAGGTCCTAAGCAACAAAATCAATGAAACAAAATTCAAGAGCTTTCATGAGCAGGTATTTTTACTAGGTAGGGCAACTTTTCTGAAGAGACTGAAGAAACATAACCACCAAATGTAGTGCATGAACCTTAGACAAGCTCCAGATTTAAACAAAATTCCTACACACTAATAGCTACAAGAAACACTTTTTTGACAACCAGGAAAAATAAATATGGTCTGTGTGTTCCTATTATTGAAATAACTTATTTAGAGCAAACAGTCTGCAACTTACTTTGAAATGGCTCAGGAACAAAAAACATGCACACACACAAAATACCTATGGCAAACTTTAAAAAAAATGGTGAATGTGGTAGAAAATATAAATGAGTACTTGGTGTTCTGCTTTTCCGATTTTTCTAAAGGCATAAAAATTTTTGAAATAAAAAATTGGGGAGAAAGAAAACATTCAAATATCCACGTGAAAAAGAAACACATGGTAGGCTATCAAATATTTGGCTTTCCAATGAAGCCATCTTAAGGAAAAAAAAACTTATCTCATTCCTCAGATCTGAATGGTAAATGTAATTCATTTTTGTCCTGCAGAAAGTAGGGAAAGAACTCTTCCTATCTATTCTAATTATGATTTAGCTGTCCCTTAGTCTCTTGTACCCCTCTGCCGTTTTTTGGGTATGTCCTTAACTTGCTCCCCCTTTATTCTTTTCCTCAGTTCAAAAAAATATTTTGATGTTATATAATGTAGTTTATCACTCAATATTCACATATAGCTTCACAATATATAGTTTTATTTTAACCTAATTTCATTTAACAGGTAAGACTTGCTCTACAATTCATTTGTAACATTCTATTATAGCCCAAGAGCCAGCCTTGAACAGATTTTCACTCTCACTTATCTCTATACACCAGCATTGTTCCCCAAACTACTCTCTCCCCACTTTTAAGCTTGATATACCACATGCTAACAGTTCAAGCCCACCATATCAGTCCTTAACATTATAAAGGCCTTTCTCAGGTCAAACTTTTTTCCAAAATGCCTTCACTTACGATCTTCTAAATAGGAACTGACTGTCTACTTTGAAAACCTGTTTGTTCTCTTTAGAATGTTATTTAAATAGCTTCCTTCATTCTAGCTTCAACAATATCCATACCAACCCCCCACCGGAATGCTGCCATTGCTTATACGACTTAAAATTCCCTTTCTTAACTCTCTAGAATCTCATCCTTAAGAATTTCTCCCCTCAATTCTCTTAAGAGTTAGCCTGGAAATTTAAAATTGTTTCAGAAAGCAAAACTAATTTAAAAAGTTACCCTGCATGTTTCAACAGAGGTTTATTTACTAAGAAGCAACAATGACAAATTTGGTGTTCTTGCTGAAAATTTGGTGACAAATTTTCTATTGACAAGAAAAGCTGAAATTACACTTCAAAAGCTGCAAAAGCCTGCCTCACTTGGTCAAGAGGGCACTAACTGGGAATTGGGACATGCAGAATCCTAGGAAATCCTAGCTCTGCCACAGGAAAGTAAAACTCAGCCTTTCCAAATAAAGGAGTTAGGTTTGGAGATAAATATCTTTGTCCTCTGATATTTCATTCCTTCTTTCATTTCACTTAAAAATCTCAAAGATTGAACTGTTATTAGTTCAATGCTTTAAGGCTTATTTGTGGTTACTCTAAAAAGATCTTAAGGACAAGCAATGCACCTTGTTATTAGAATATTTAAGCAACCCATCATTTACAAAAAGAACTTTAATGGGAAAAAATAAATTGACCTTGTATCTATCATTAAAAATCTGACAATCTAATTTTTCCTGTACGACAACAGGGAATTACTCCACTAGTCCACTTTACTCATAAAATTAACAGCCTGAAATAAGCTGGGTCAAGAAACATATATTAATCAATCTGTTATAGCGTCAAGAATAACATGCAGCCTAACTTTCCCAAAAAGTCATTCTAACAGGAACAATTATTTTTCTTTCTTTAAAAAATCCTTATCACCAGGTATATGTACCTTTATATAAAGATTAATATAATTACCCTTTTGGAAATATTTTTCTGTGGAAAAGGACATTAAAATTTACTTTGAGAATCACAAGTAGACTGTATCTTATGAAAAAATTCTATTATCTGTATACTTTCTTTCTATACCAGTGAAGGGTGGGCAAGTTTATCTGATTAGCTTTCATTTATGACCACTGGCTATGGTATAAGTTGTGTTACTTGTAAATGACCAGGAGCATAAGCATCTGAAAAACAAAATAAAACAAAAAATCCCACTTGTCTGGAAGTAAAATATCACATTCTAAATAGTCTGTGAAAAAGGCAAATTTTGGAGACATGCTTGGGATTTAGATCCTCTTAGAAATCAAAGTCTGATTCCACCACTTAGTTGTGACCTGTTTCTCAGTCTGTAAAGTGTCAGTAAAGATACAGTTCTTTTAATTCACAGCAGTTTATATTAATATTTGCAAAATACTTAATAATTGTATGCTCCACTAGAACTTAACAACCAGAGGGGCAAGATTCCTAGCTGTTATTCCTGCAATCACATTCTAAGTATCTACCGGTCTTCTACAGTTACTAAAAGAAAATGGTCTTTCTAGGTGATTATTTCTCTTCTTCCATACATGTAAATGTTAAAGTAACTTCCTCTGTCACTGTTAAGTTACTTCACTGATTATTTTGGAGCAAAAATACAATATCCCCCCTCATCTACAGTCAACCATGGTTAGAAATATTAAATGGAAAATTCCAGAAATAAACAAACCATGTTTTTAAACTGCACACGGTTCTGGGTAACGTGATGAAATCTAGAGCCATCACACTCCCACCCAGCATGTGAAATATATCCCTTTGTCCAGCATATCCACACTGTATATGCTCCCTGCACCTTAGTCACTTAGTAGCCATCTTAATTATGAGATCAATTGTCACAGTATTTTAAGTGCTTGTATTCAGGTAATCCTTATTTTACTTATATTGTCATTAATTACTGTTGTTAATCTTGTACTGTGCCAAATTTATAAATTAATTTTATCACAGACATGTATGTATAGGAATAAATAGTATATATAAGGTTCAGTACTATCTTTGGTTTCAGTCATCCACTGAGCGTCTTGGAATGTATTGTATCCCCTGTGGATTACGGGGCGATACTACTGTAATATTGCAACCAATTCTTCTCTGCAATTCTAGAATTTAACCTATGCTATTCTGGCTACTAACGTATATATAATTGTCTTTTGACAAAAACGTAGGTAATATTCAATGTTATATGTGCCAGCAGGGAAATTTTGATTTTTAATTAGTAAGTGGTTAACAAATAGGATTTAGAAATAAAAATGTTTCCTTGTTATGCAATCACAAATTTAAGAATTATTATTCAAAATGACCTTGAAATGCCTGGAAGTTGAGTGATTTTGGAATGAATTCTTGCTCAATTACTCTCTTAAGATTTTAAAATTAATGAAAGTCGAAATAAAAACATGATACAAACAAGCTTTATTGATATCTTCAACCTTCTAGGGTGATATTTATGAATATTTCAATTTAATTAATTGTGACTGCATAACAATTTAATGTATAAAAAAAAGAAATGTAGAACGTACCCATTTTCTTGTAGTATTCTTCCCAAGCCTTAGTATAATCAACTGGTCCAGCTGGAGCTGGATTCTGTTGATCTCCTTGTTCAAGAAAAACAAACAAAAAAAGATCAACATTTTAAAAGACAATTTTGACCTTTACCCTCCTATTCCTTGAGTGGGAGAACTGGAAGTGGTCTGCCATTGGGAAGGACGGAGAGAGGGAGGGAGGGGAAGTGCTGCGTGAGTGGTATCCCTGCTGGTGTACACTGGGTTACAGCTTTTGTGGACAGAGAAGATGGTCTATGTATTTGGAAGAGTACTTACATTGAGCATATAAGTAGATTCACTTGTCAAATAAGAAAACATAGCAAGGATACCAGGTCCTTCACCACTTATAAACATTAAAAGGGAAAAAGTAAGAAGAGAACCTTGAAGTGCAAGAATATAATTGTAGGTGATATGACTGTACAGTGTAAAAAAAAAAATATATATGGGTATTTATGTGTTATGTTTATGTAGGAATGCATGTATGTAAATTACATAGCTATGTATGCTGAAAGGAGCTAGAAGAAATGATGCCTCAGTAAACATGCTGAATTTGGTTTCTAAATACCATCATCTACTAAAAGGAATCAGGGCTTCTTGGAAAAGTGGCTGATTCCAGGGCTGGAGACCAGAAAGCACAAAATGAGCATCTTATGCAAGAAAGCAAGAAAGTGCTTAAGAATGACAGGGATGTCAAAAGGATATAGGAACCATCTTGAAGGTACCCCTGACTGGACAAATCTAGGATAATTTGGTAATCAAAATAATAAAGACAGCCTAAAACACAACCTATTGATGGTGAAGGGATTAGCCAAAGAGCATATATACATAATCCATATACACAGAAAACAATGTGGTGATGGCCTGAGGGAAGGGATGAGGGGAATGGAAAAATCTGTGATAGTGTAAACAATAAAAATACAGTAAAAATAAATGAATAAATAAAATACAACCCATCCATTGAATAAAACAGGAATCCATACTGATAGAAACAGGAAGGGAATAAAAGCTCTTCCTCATAGTAAATATATCAAGTAATAAATGTAAAATGAATGAGGGAAACAGAAATTACCATAGCTGTGGCTGAATGAAGCAGGTGTTATTCAATGAAGGTGAAGGCCATGGGTAGAAGTTCAATGAGATACCGAATAGTGGTCTAGTCTCACTGTAACTCTCAAAAAAATATTAATTTGAAAGATAAAAATGAAGATTTTATGGTATAGAAACCTGGCATAAACCGGTATTACCAAGTTATCATAGATACCATCTTGAGGGATGAAAAAGGTCAACATAGGATCACTGATGTAACACACTAAGCACAGCACACATCATCATTTCTGAGGCATTCTTGCCAAACCATTAATAGGACCTTGTGAACATGACCTCATGTTCATGACAAAAGGTTGAAGGGACCTAGATTGATTATCATCCCACAAAACAAATATACTCTTTACAACAGGAAAAAGACAAAATTATTCCTGAGTGATGAGACTAAATAGACCTGACAACTAATAGAAAAACATGTTACTAGATGGGATTCTAGATCAGAATAAAAATTGTTGGGTCAAATGGTGAAGTCTGAATTAAAGACCGTGTACTGGGACAGTGACAACGTATCAATGATTAACTGATGTGGAGGGCTGATGATGGTTATGTTGATTACAGAAAGGTGTATTTAAATGATGGGGCATCATTTCTACAGATTAGTTATAAAATGGTCCTGACAAAGACTAATGATAACTGACATGGTCACCTGATAAAGAGGGTTATGCAGAAAATGGTGGTGTTATTCGTGGATTAAACACTAATAACTAGGTTATCTGGGAATTCTTGTTCTCTAATATATCTTAAAACTGTCATGCAAGTTTGCAAATATTTCAAAGTAACTTATTTTTAAAAAGTTTAAATCTGCTTCCTGAAGGTACAGCTGAATATTAGGAATTTTTAGATATCATACATGCACTTATATATAATTCCAAACACAGGTTTTCAGGTATACATATAAAAAAAAAATTGTTTAGTTACCATAGTTACCTTGTCCATTGGTTTGGGTTGTAGTTGGTGCACCAGCAGGAGCTGCAGGTGGTGGCTGTGCTTGCTGTTGATAATAGTGAGCATAATACGCAGCCCAAGCTGCTGAATTTGGATCAGTTCCTGCCTTAGCTAGAATAAACACAAGTTCAATGTTTGCATCTGCCATCTATCATCTATCTATCTAATCTTTTCCCTCCCACTCCCACCCACACCCTCTGGTAAATATACAGACCCAAAAATTAACTAGACATGAAAAATAGTAAATGGAAACTTTCAAATTCTATTATTTTCACTGTTAACCTTAGCTTTTATAGAAAACTGAGGTTCAGAGATTGTCATTCCTAGGTCCTAGAAAACTAGCTGGTGGCAGAATTGGGATAGGAATAAAGATCTTTTGGCTCCAAATCCAGTGCTTTGTCTCAAAACATCTTGTGTGTGTTTTTTCTTAATCAGTTTTGTCTCAAGCACAACGGTTCTCTGTGGCAAATGACTAAAGAAAGAGATTTCTAGGGACTAACCTGTACAAGGAAGAAACAGTTATTACAGAACTATGAACTCTGTCCTGTCTCGTTTTCAATAAAAAGAGAACTTAAAAATCTTTGAAAAAGAGATTAGCCATATTTCATCTATTTCACAATGATTATCCTAAACATAAACTTGATGTCATAGCCCTACTTGAAATTCATTTATTCCCTAGAGTCCTCAGGATTGTCAAAGATCTTAAGTACAGCATATTATTCAGTATCTTTAATGATCTGGACCCCCTGGATTATCATTTCCATTCCAGCCTCACCTCCCCTCTGTCATTTTTCTAACACTCATGTTCTGGCCACAATAAACTGCTTGTACTTTTCAGAAGTTACCATGCTCACACCTGGGCCTTTGAGCATGTTATGCTTCCTCTGTACTTGATTCATCTTCACAAAAATCAACTAATGCATTAACAAGTTTGAGACCTCTCAGTCAGAAACAGAAATCCTCTTATTGATTCTGTCCTTTAAACTAGAAATATCATATGGTATTATAGGCATATCTTTATTAATTTACATTAATTACATTCAAGAAGAATGTAATTTCCTTAGCCAGAGTAAGCATCTACAATGCAATCTGTTTATAGCCTTTGTCCCAAATGGGCAGCGATTCTCAACTGCTTAATAAAAGTGAATGAAGTTTGAGGGGAAAAAAAGAAGCAAGGACGTTTAGAATGATATAATTCTAATGTGATACAGTTCTAAGACATTACACCACCCTCCTAACCTTTCTCAGTAAGAAATATACTGCTTTTCTATGTTCGATATTTAGGTCTCAATAGTGTCATTACCTGTATACTAGTTAATAAAAATATTTTCACTTGACACCATGTCTAGACATAGAAAGTGAGATTAAAAACTTTAGGAAGTGATACTGGTACTCCTGAAACAATGTTATAAAAGAAAACCAGTCTTAAAGTCCATTAAAACAACAGTAAAGAAAATAAGATGCTATACAAGTCAAAAAAAGAAAACTGGCCTCATATTTACATATACCTAAGACATAGTGAGAACTTACCAATATTCATTTGACATAACATTCATTCGTTTATGTATCACCATTTTACATATAAGAAAACATCTGGAGGGGTTCAAGAACTTGTTGTATACCACAATTAGTAAGTTTTAAGATTAGGATTTACCTAGGTATTCCTCATTTTGAAGTCTAAGTTCTTGATTGCTACATAAATCCTTAACAGCCCATCAGATTTTTATAGAAACAGGTTTTAGTTCAGAACACTGGCTTTACTGTCAATACAGGTCCACATTTAAATACCAGAATGTTTAATCAAATTCACTAAAACAACTTCATTTAAATCAATTATTTGATGTTTACATAAGGTTAAGTCTAACATAAGCAATATCTAATTATAGCTATCTTTCAGTTAAATGGGTTCTTTCCCAAAGGCAATGCTGAAAACCTTATTCATTCACCAATTCTTACAGTTGCTGACTTTACTACTCCTCCAAGTGGGAAAATGAGATTGTGGTAGAGACCACTTCTCTATTCCCATTTTTCTTAATCATGCTACCTACCCAGACAGTGCTGCTCACAGGTGCAATTCTACAGATCCAAGTTACCAAATATAAACCCGTCCCTTAACTTGATCAACCTAATCAATCTCTTAAATGGTGATCCCTCTGCTTATCACACCATCCCAATTAGCTTATAAGAGGGAAAAGAAAGTCCTTTTATTCTGAAAAAACTAACTTTAGATTACTATACAGTAAAAAATATGACTCTTCTTCTGTAAGTCCTTTTATCATAGTATTGCTAACACTTGGAGTGCATTCTTCTGCTACAGAATTTAAACTACTCTTTGCATACACATCTTCTAGCATACTCAAGTTGTTTCTCAAATGAGTGGATGTTGTGGGGTTACTGGGTGATTGCTATGTGTCATCATATTCCAAAGAACACATGTCCCATGAAACTGAACCATGTTATATAATATGGGGCCACATTTAAGTACCAGAATACTTCATCTAAATCAATTATTTTGGGTTTTAAAAATATAATTATTAACTAGTGTGGAAAAGAAATCCATGATTTAGTACCTTCCTTGAAACTACTCCAGTGAAAGAGGCCTAAAAGGTAGGTAGTAGGTAAGAAAAAAGAATAATAAAGAAATGTTAATTGGTTTTGATTAATGCCCTTTTTACTGGTGGAAAGAAAACTGCACAGTGGGAGATGAAGAATTGAATAGAATGTAATATATATAAAATCCAAACCTGAGCAGTAACAACGTATTTTAAGAGTTCTAACATGCAGATATTAAATACAAGCCTAATTTTTACTAACAGGTAAAATTACTGTACCAGGAATACTAAAACAAACAACTTTTATATCTTATTTAAGAACTTAGGAGTTTAGTGCCCAAGTGTTAAATGTCCCATTTAGACTCTTAACACATTATATACATGTTAATGGCACTGGTACCTAAAACCTAAAGACACTGTACTTCTTCCTGTAGCTTTTGGCTTTTAGCACTCTGTTGTATAACTTCAAAAGTAGAGAAAGCCAAATGCAGATTGAAAAAAGCTCCATGAAAAACACCATATTCACACCAATCTTACATACTGTGGTAGAACTACAACTTAAAACTCCTGCTGAAAGAAGTGAAATTTAAGTGCAGAAAATAGCACATAATGTAGAAACAACACAGGAAAATTTAAGAATGTAACAGGAGTGACAAATAATACAGATTACAGAAGGATGATGAGCATCTGTTACCTGGATCAGGAGGGGCCTGTTGCTGCCAGTGTGGATATGCATTTCCCCATCCCTGGGGAGCATAAGGAGCTGGAGGACCACTGAAAAAATAGAAATCAATATAAAAATACAATTTACCAAAGCTAGAATCTTTGGGGATAGGCAGAGAAACAAACCCAATACTTACTGAGGAGCAGGGCCAGGTGGTCCTGGATTGTAAGGTGCAGGGTTGTAAGGTCCCATTGGAGTTCCAGGCCCAGGAGGCCCAGGAGGCCCATGGGGGCCTGGGACACCATGGGGCCCATGGGGTACAGGTGGCCCTAAAGGATTTACTGGGCCCTGCGCAAAAGCAAAAAGACACACAAAAATCAGAAAAACAGCAATGGCTGAACAACTCAAATAATTTTCCGTTTCTATGCTCTTATATAGCCACAAACAATACAAAAACTATCTTAATTCTACCTTACTGAGACATGCAAAATTCATTAAAATCAATAGCAAGAGCAAAGAATTCAAACATTTTACTTCTCTTCTTTCACATTATTCTCTTTCATAATTCTTACTTTTACTAGTATTTATCATCTTAATCATGAAAGCTTATAAAATATCAGATCCTATTTCTAGTTCTTCTTTCTCTCTGCATTCACATCTACTCTCCTACCAATAATTATAGCCATCTTGATAATATATTTCCCAAATTGCTTAGGTCTTGTATTGTGACCTATTTACTACTTTACCAATAATGTAACAACTAGTTCTTGCTCAACAAACTAAAGTTCCCTCACAAACTTTGTCACAGAACCCCATTTAAATCAATATTTTAAACTCATTTTGCCCCTTGTCTTTTATCTTTTATTTCCTAAAAACCATGAAAACGTCCTTTAAAATTGACTTAACAAATCAGCATATTTCATACCCACATTATGCTACAACATAATTAATAATTCCTACCTGGTGCCTTTTTTGATTAATCCAATTTGTAAAGACCACTAGATTTAACTATCCTAAAACACTCCTTTCATTTCAGTTATGGGACTGACCATGGGACATTTTGTACGAAAATGTCCATGTGCCCCAACTGGGAATCAAACTGGCAACCTTTCATTTTGCAGACCAGCAAATTGAGCTAATTTGCACATCATCCAGAGTTAAACTTCATGATTTTTTTAAGTCCCTTTTTATCACCCTGGCCTGTGTGGCTCACTTGGTTGGGGTACTGTCCTGTAAACCACAAGGGTGTGGGTTTCATTCCTCATCAGGACACATGCCTAGGTTGTGGGTTCACCCCCCAGCTGAAATGTGTACAAGAGGTAACCGGTTGATGTTTGTTTCTCTCCCCCCCCTCAACCAATCCCCCTCTCTAAAATCAGTAAGCCTTGGTAGGAACGAACATGAACACACAGGAACACCCCCCCCACCCCCCCTTTATTAACTTGTCTCCTTCAGTCTCTAATTCTGTCATTATTCCTCACTTTTATTATCCATAACTTACCCTTTCCAAATAGTAAAACAGGATTACGGAAAAAAATAGCAACATTTTTATAGGGATATGTGCTAGGCACTGTTTTAAGTGATACACACTTAAATAATTCCTACAACCTTATAAAGGAGCTACTATTATCCTCATTCTCAGAGGAAGAAACTGAGGAAAAGATAGATATAACGTCACCCAAGGTCACAGTTAGTAAATGATTCAGAATATTTTGAGCCCAAATAGCCTAACTCGAGTCTATGCTCTTAACCACTATATTAAATTGCATCTCTAGCTCAATCTATCTTGTTTGTCCACCAATCCAGAGGAAATCCTGATCCATACATGCTAATACTAAATTTCAAACCAGGATGTGCTATTCATTTTTCTAGCATCTACCTATGCAATTACTAAATCAATTATTTCCTTCATATCTGTACAATTATATATTAACCAACAATGTTTCTGTTTATTTTTATGATATTCTTTCAAGTATTTTTTTGTATATCTATTCCTGACTTTTCAGATAGACAGAAACAGTATCAAATTTCTTTTGTGCCCCATACACAACACGACAAACATCAAGAATTTTCCTAAGAAATTCTAATCACTGGTAATAATTTAAGATGCTTGCTCACACTACATGTTAGTTCTTTATAGAAAAAGAACACAGTAAGCACTATTTATCTCACTTACTAGAAAAAACAATCGAGGATCTTCATACATTTTTGTACTACCAGCAGCAAACTTTTCTAGTGGAAAATTTTTCAAGTGTGGCCAGACATCAAAATGACCTGAAAGATCTTTCTAAAGTTAGATATTGGACCCTATGTTCCAGACATTCTAAATGACAACTGTGTGTGTTATGTGTAGAGGTGGAAAGCACCCAAGAAGTCTATATTTAAAACTCCCCAAATGACTGTATAAGATTTAGGATTTATAAATTTCTAGTGGGATGCATCTGATTTCTCTTTGCCTCTCCAGGGTTGCTATAATAAGCTCTTAATAAACACTGAATTCCCATTAACTATATCCTTCAAGTATGTTTCACAACCCTAATGTATCTGCAAGTAATGCTATTCTCTTATCTACACATACCCAAAAAGAAGGTCCTGAACACCTGTAGCTGTATCAAATGAGGTTACTTTAATTACTGGAAAAATCTTTTCTATTTTCATGTTATTTATTACAATAGTTATAAAACCTATAATTTTAAATGAAAAATTGACATTTCTCTATACAGCACTTTCAGGAGCATCTGAATTAATGTCTTATTTAACTAACAGGATCTATGCTCTAAATTGAAGTTTAAGGCATACTCACACCAATCTTTTCTTCTATGAGTTGCCGAGCATAGTCTATCTGCTGTGGAGTGCCACGAATTGTAAATAATTTCATATTAGGATCTGCATTAGGTGGAGGATTTCGCTGAAGTTCTATTCTTGCACCAGATTGTTGGCTTATGCTTTTTATGGTTTCACCTCCTAAAATCAAAACACAATAATTTCTCTAAGGAGTCAAAAAATACAAGAGGAACTATTTAAAAAATGGAAGTAATAAAAAAACTAACAAAAACAAACTCAAAGATACAAACAAGATGGTAATTACAGGAGGGGGAAGGGGACGGGCAAGCTGGGCAAAAGGGGTCAAACAATGATAGAGGAGAGTAGACTTTGGGTACAGAGCATGAAGAGGATATACCAATGTATTATAATGATGTACACCTAAAATTTACATCGTCATTAAAAAATGCTACCTCAATAAACTTTAAAAAAAAAGTTACTATTAAACAGACTATTAAGTTCTGACCAGTAGTCCATCTGCCGATATTATACTATGATTTTCCATTTGTTTTATACTTTAAATCAAATTATATAAAGTGAAACTTCTGGCCACAATGGAGGCATAGGTAGATACACTTTACCTCCTCACAGAAACAAAAGAACATGCAACAGCAGCCATCTTGCTCAGGCAGAGACCACTCCCCCTGAGTGGCACCAGCATCAAAGGACCCTATAGCCCCACCCCCAGGTGGGATTCCCCCTGCCCAGTGCTAAGCTGGCTGCCTGCTGAGTGCAGAGTGGCAGCCACACACAGTAGATTCCTGTCTAAAGCGGGTACAGAGTGGTCTGGCGACACTTGAGGCAGCCGGGGATGGAGGCTTTGGGGAGAGAACGGAAAGAGTAGCTGGCAGAATCCCAGTGCTGACTCCTCCCCCATATGGCAGCAGTGTGAGTGGACCGAATAACCCCACCACCAGGAGGGACTCTGCCCTAAGTTGTCTAAGGTGCCCTGCTGAGTGCAGTGAATAGATTAAGAGGTGAAGGAGACAGCCACAAACAGGAGATTCCTGGAAGTCTCGAACAGACTGCCTAAGGTCAGACAGGATCAACATCTGACATCATCAGAGGCAGATCCAGAAAGTAAAAACAGCGGTCTCCAACCATAGAACTTTATACCACAAAGTCAGGAAAACAAGACAGATCAACTTAAGAAGCAGAAGCAAAAGAGAAGAGTCTCACAAATAATGGGAAGACAAAGAAATACGCCCCACTCGAAGGGAAAGGAGGAATTCCCACAAAGAGAACTCAATGAAATAGAGGCAAGTAAACTATCACATATTTAGTTCCAAACAATGGTTCTAAGGAAGCTCAATGAGCTCAGAGAGAATTACTGCAAACTATATCAGCATGAAAAAGGACATAGAAACTATCAATGAGAGACAAGAGGAAATGAAAAATACAATTTTTGAATTGAAGAACACAGTAGAAGGAATCAAAAGCAGGCTCAATGAAGCCAAGGACTGAATCAGCGAGCTGGAGGACAAGACAGAAAAAACTCCCAGAAAGAGCAAGAAAATCAGAGACTGAAAAAGAATGAAGAAGCATTCAGGGAAATGCAGGACAACCTGAAACGTAATAATATCTGTATAATAGAGATACCAGAAGGAGAAGAGGATGAGGAAGGAATAGAGAACCTATTTGAACAAGTCATGATGGAAAACTTCCCTAATTGGAGGAGAATAAAAAGTCACACAAGTCCAGGAAGCACAGAGGGTCCCATTCAAGAGGAACCCAATGCGGCCCGCTCCAAGACACATCATCATTAAAATGGCAAATAGCAAAGACAAACACAGAACCCTAAAGGCAGCAAGGGAGAAAGAGGTAGTAACATATAAGGGAGCCCCGATATGGCTAGCATCTGACTTCTCAACAGAAACACTGCAAGCCAGAAGGGAGTGGCAAGAAATAGGCCAAGTCATGAAAAGCAAAGGCCTGCAACCAAGACTGCTCTACCGAGCAAGGCTCTCAATTAAAATGGAAGGCAAAATAAGGAGTTCCCCAGACAAAAGGTGGCTAAAAGACTACACTTGCACCAAACCAGCACTGCAAAATATGCTAAAGGGGCTGCTTTAAGATGAAGAAAAAGTTTCTATAAATACCAGTTCCTTTCAGGGTTGCCAATACTTGATATTACCAATATTTTTAATACTCATTAATCTGATTGTAACAATCATGTTATTTTAATTGTTCCATTACTAATTGTTGAAACTAAACCTGTTTTAGTATACGTCTTGCCTATTTCTATTATTTTTTTAAAAAAAGCTCTAAATGACTTTTTGGTATTCTTTATCTATTTATTGATTAAAAGTTTGTAGAAATTTTTTCCCTAAAAAACAAACAAAAAAACAACAAAAAAACCCCCTTTTAACCATGTTTTAGATGTATTGCAAATACTTTTCTATTCCTTGTCCTGTAACTTTTTTATATGTATATTACTATATAGTTAAAGGTTTAATATACTCATATTGTCAATATTTACTTTATAGCTTCTGGGGTTGAATAGTTTACTTCAGGTCATGAAAAATATTAGTTCTATTTTCTTCTAAAACTCCTTAGATTCTACGTATTGATTTTTAACTCACCTGAATATTTCTTGTACAATGTGTGAAATAGGGCTCTATATTTGTTTTATTTCAAGTAATAGTGGTCCATGCACCTTATTTGTTGAATAAGCCTTATTTTACCCATTGATTTGAAATATCGACTTAATCATATATTGTTAGACAGATATATATGTTTTTGTCTCTAGAACGTTCATTATATTTCACTGCTCTACTTGATTATTTCTGTGTTGGAGTCCTGTTGGTTTAATTGCTGAGTCTTTATAATGGTTTTAAATTTTTTAATACAGAGAGATGGATCGCCTACCTTTTGGAACAACATGGATGGAACTGGAGAATATTAAGCTAAATGAAATAAGCCAGTTGATGAAAGACAATTACCATATGATCTCACCTCTAAGTGGACTCTATTCAACGAAATAAACTAATGAAAAAATAAACCACAGGCATGGAAACATGGATCAGACTGAAAGAGACCAGAGTGGAGGGGAAAGAGGACAATGGTGGAAAGAAGGGGAAGGGACTAGACAAAGAACACGTATGAATGACCCATGGACATGGAAAACAGAGTGGGAATTGACTGTGGGAGTCGGGGGTGGGGACAGGATGGGTGGAGGGGGGTACAGGAGAAAAATTGAGACAACTGTAATATAATAAACATGATTTATAAATTAAAAAAATAAAAAATCGAGAAGAAAATAATTTAAAAAATAAAAAAATGAAATAAAATTTTACTTAAATAAAAAAAAAAAAACCAACAAACAAACCAGAACTGCCAGAAAATGGAACTGAATGGAAGTCCAACCACCAAGGAGTTAAAGAAGAGAAATTCATCTAGACTGGTAGGAGGAGTGGAGGTTGCCCCACCCTGGTGAATACGTACGGCTCTGCCCCTTACAATATACCAGGAGCCACGAGACAAAGAATTATGTCCCAAGTGAAAGAACAGACCAAACTCCAAAAATGTGAACAAAGCAACAAAGAGATAGCCAACCTGTCAGATGCGTAGTTCAGGAACATTGGTGATAAGGATGCTCACAGAAATGGTTGAGTATGGTTGCAAAAAAAGTGAATGCTATGCAAAGTGAAATACAAGAAATATATACATGGAACCAACAGTGAAGGGAAGGAAACCGGGACTCAAATTAACGATCTGGAGCAGAACGAAGAAACAAACATTCAATGAGAACAGAATGAAGAAACAAGAATTCAAGATAATGAGAGGCTTAGGAACCTCTGGGACAACTTTAAACATTCCAACATCTGAATCACAGGGGTGCCAGAAGGAGAAGTGAAAAATAGGAAGAAATTGAAAAGTTATTTGAAAAAAACAATGAAGGAGAACTTCCCCAATCTGGAGAAGACAATAAACTTCTAGGAAGTACAGGAAGCTCTGGGAGTCCCAAAGAAGTTGGACCCAAGGAAGCACACACCAAGGCACATAATTATGTCACTGAAGATTAAAGATAAAGAGAGAATCTTAAAATCAGCAAGAGAAAAGGAGACAGTTACCCACAAAGGAGTTCTCATAAGACCATCAGCTGATTTCTCAAAAGAAATCTTACAGGCAAGAAGGGCTGGAAAGTATTCAAAGTCATGAAAGACAAGGACCTACATCCAAGATGACTCTATCCAGCAAAGCTATCTTTTAGAATGGAAGGGCAGATTAATGTGCTTCCCAGATAAGGTCAAGTGAAAAGGATTCATCATCACCAACCCTTATATGAAATTTTAAAGGGACTCATCTAACAAAAAGAAGATCAAACACTGTGAACAAAAAAAATGACAACAAACACAACTATCAACAACTGAACCTGAAAAAAAAAAACTAAGCAAAAAACTAGAACAGGAACAGAATCACAGAAATGGAGATCACATGGAGGGTTATCAAGAAGAGGGTGGGAGGAAGAAGGCGGGAAAAGGTACAGGGAATAAGCAGCATAACTGGTAGGCACAAAATAGACAGGGGGAGGTTAAGAATAGTATAGGAAAAAGAGAAGTCAAAGAACTTATATGTAGGACCCATGGACATGAACTAAGTGTGTAGGGGGGAATGGTGGTGGGGGGTGGGGTGCAAGGTGGAGGGGATTAAAGCAGAGGAAAAAAATGGGACAACTGGAATAGTATAATCAATAAAATACACTTTAAAAACAAGTAATTAAAATTATATAAAGCATTTCATGCTTCTAAAATACATTTATGTTTTGAGACATAACTTAGTATAACTCTACCTAACTTTAAAATAGATAAGTTATCAAAATATTTGCTTCAATTAAATTGCCTTTACAATGTAAATATGAACTTAACACACTTAGTAAAAATTCAAAATTTTAAAACTCTGTGGATCAGAAAATAGCAAAGTAAAACAAAAACACCCAAACAACTTTTGTGATCAAAAGAAGTTTTTCAGTAATAATTTAACTGTTGTCTCCCTTAGAAGTTAATGTGAATCAAACTATATACTTTTTATATAAGTATATATAGAATAGTTCCTTTGTATTTTAGTTGTTACACATCAACGTTACACATCAATGTTACACTTTCCTACTACAATACAGTGCAGGGAAAAAAATCACTGCTACTTGTTTAGAACAGCAACAGAAATAGCACCCAGAAAAATTAAGTAATATTAAAATTTTAACCATACATTAAAACAATAAGAGTTAAAACACATTGCCTTTTCCTATTATTAATCCAGTTTTTCCAGTTGGTACAATGAAATTAAATTCCTGTAGTCCACCAGGTGGTCCCATGTTCCAGTTGCCTTGACCTCTACCTCTTCCTCGACCACCAGGTCCAGGTCCACCAGGATTACCAGCCTTAAGAGGAGAAAGACAATAAACAAAGTCAGCATAAAAATATACTCTTTCGTCCACAATAAAATTATTACATGTCTATTTTCCTCAACTTTCATGTTCCTAAATCATAAATTTAGAAATGCTGGGAGAAAACTTGGCCTAAATAATCAGTCAATAATAACCACCATTTATTCTTTGTATGCTGGAACTAATAATGAAACGCACTCAAGCAGCTGCTTTGCTGGTCCAGTATGTCTACCACAAAGCACTTTAATTATTATAATAAAGTATCATCAAATAGATTCTGATATAAAATAAAGGGAGGGCACTCTCAGATTTAATGAAAACAAAACAGTGTTCTATCACACCTGTACACTTCGGAGAAGGTCTGTAATAATTTCTGCAGCATGTTGACATCGATCTGGAGGTCCTGTTATTTGTGCTATTCTGTCAGGCGTTGTTCCATCATCTTTAAAACAAAACCAAAAATGGATTAATTTAGCATTAAATGTGGGTCAGAAGTAACTGTGAGCAACACTTAGAAAACTAAATGTATGTACTCACCTGGCTTAAACTGAATACGAACACCAGCATCATTTTGTATTTTTTTAATCATCTCTCCATTTCTTCCTATTACAATGCCAACAGCAAATCTTGGAATGGGGACCTTATGCAAAGAACACTGAGTATTACAAAAGCCATTTCCAGAAAAATCAAGCTACCTCAAGTCATGTATATAGCACTGTTTATATACAATACGGTAATAAGACGCAAAATACACTACTATATTCTAAGGTGGAATGTGGAAGGAAAAAAGAGGATACAATGTTAGAGGAGCCTATGTAATACAAAATAGGAAACCTAGTATACTCATTAATTGGCATACAAACATTTATGAGTGAGTATTTTTACTTACATCTATCCCTTCATTTCCTCCTATCCTTGACCCATACTCATTTCGAACCTCTCGGAAACCACCTTGATCACGAATTAACTCTAACACCATTTCCTTGGCTTGCTGAAGTAAAAAAAGGAAAAAAATTACCTGATTTATAAAGCATATCTCAAAACACTGCAATGTATTCATACATGGTTTGCTCATTCTGCACCCTCCCCAAGCCCTTCTTCGTAAAATATAAACTTAAGTTTACTTGAACTTTGTATGGATCTCCTGTAATTCTAAGAGGTTTGTCAGCACCAGTGTTCTGAGGTCCGTCTTGAATCATAACCATTTTAACTCCAGCCCGCTCCTGTTAATCATAAAAACCATACATATTAGTAAAAGGGGAATGGAAGGAAACTGGCTTCAAAACAGATGTAAGATCATCATTTTATAAACAATAATACCTGAAGTTGTTTAATAGTCTCTCCCCCCTTTCCAATAACTAATCCTGCCTTGCTAGCTGGAATCATTATTTCTTGGACTGCATTTCCTGGTCCATCACCATGATGGAAGCCAGGGGCTGGTCTTCCTTTTTCAACAATCTGGTCCAGTAACCGTTTTGCTGATCTGTTAACAAATTAACAGTCAAAAATGTTGGCGCATGCCCCAAAGATTATCCAAAGATAAAAATACAAAATATAATCAGTTATTCCTTCTAATTCCAATGTAGGTGGCTTAAATCTAAATTTTAACAATTTTAATTATAAGAAAATGCCATCAGTGTCAAGGAGTGAAACTATTCAATAAATTTTCTAGGTATACAATTTTCAGTATTTTTGAGAACCCAAATTTCTAAAAAGTAGCACTCAACTTAGAAAGTTATCACAATTATTAGGCTGATTCCTACAAAAACTAAGTATTTGTTTTTTATTTTTTAAATTAATTTTACTGTTTGTGTCATTACAGTTGTCCCCACTTTCCCCCCTTTGCCCATCTCCACCCAGCACCCCTCGCGAAGGCAATGCCCATACCACTGTCCTAGTCCATGGGTCATGCATGCATGTTCTTTGGTCAATCCCTTCACCTTTTCTCATCCAGTCCCCCCACATCTACTTCCCCTCCAACAGCTGTCAGTCTGTTCCACGTACCTATGCCTCTATTTTTATTTTGTTCATATATTTATGTTTTTAAACCATCACTTGGGTCATTCAAATGTTCACTGAATAAATATTTAAGAAATGTCAGCTGACGCCAGGTATTATTCTAGGTAGTGGGGTTATAGCAATGAACAAAATGAGATTCTGCTGGCACTCAATAAGTAAAAGAAAGATGTTAAATAAATTACATGTCATTGGGAAGTGCTATAAAGAAAATCAAAGCAGAGTAAGATTGACAAAATATGTATATGTGTGTGAAGAGATGCTACTTCAGGGAAAATAGATATGGAGACCTTACTGGTAAGAAGACATTTGAGCCAAGACCTGAAGGAAGAGGGAGAGGGATTATGAAAATACCTGAGGAAAACGTTCCAGAGATAAGAAGCAGGAGGTGCAAAGGTCCAATGAGAAGTATGATTGATGAAGAATAGGAAAGAAGCTACCTGAGGCTAGAACAGAGTGACGTGGAAGAAGAATGGTAAAAAGTGGCAGGTGAGAAGACCATGACATATTCTGACTTCTACTCTGAAGGAACATTAGAGGATTTTGAACAAAGTAGTATTATAAACTAACATTCTAGAAGAATTACTTTTGTTATACTATTGTAAGAACAGACTATTGTTGAACAAGACTAAAAAGAATGGAGACATATTGCAATAATACAGGCAAGTGGCATCACAAATAACGTGATAGTAAAGGAAGTGGCAAAGAGAGGCTGGACTTCAAATAAATTACAAAGAAAAAATAACCAAGACTTGCTTATGGATAAATGAGAAATAAGAGAAAGATAAAAGTATTAAAACAGAGTTGCCATACAAATCAGAGTAAGTTTAAAAAAAAAAAAGCAGGCTGGGCATGGGGTGTAAAACAACTGCATTTTTTAACAATGATGTCAAGTTTGAGATGCCTAATAGACACTCAAGTGGAGGCACTGAGCAGTTGGATATGAATCTGGAAATCAGGAAGAGAGATCAAGGCTGAAGATAAAAATTTAGAAAAACATAAAATCCATGGTATATAAAGCTATATATTAAAAGAAATTTAATAGAGTAAATGAAATCATTTTAAGAGTACGTATAGATACATACTATAGGGGGACTGAATTTTGTGGCACTTTCATGTTGACAGCACCAGAAGATTAGGTCGGACAACCAAGAGAGACTGAGAAAGAGATGCAGGGAAACCGGTATCTCCAGGAAAGTGGTCCACTGTGTCAAATAATGCTGACAGGCTACATGAGGAGGAGGTCATCATCATTCAGTGGAACAGTGGAATAAAAGTCTGACTGGTATGAATTCAAGAGAAAATGAAAACAGGCAAATGATATGGCAAATACAATAGAGTTCTGTTGTAAAAGGGAACAGAAGAAATGTGGGGTCCAGGGATAGTTTTGATTAAGATGGAGATATTTCAAGCATATCTTTATGCCATTAGAAATTATCTAGAAGGCAGGGGAGGAATTAATAGTGCCAGAGAAAGTGGGTTCAATTACTAAGGCAATGTCCCTCTGTTAAGAATGGGCTGGCCTCAGATGCACGATTTTCATACTTACTGGACAGACTCAGGTGTTCCAGTTAACATACAAGACCTTTCTGGAAGGCCACCACTGTCTACAATTTAAAACAACAAAAAAATGTTTAAGGCTAAGAAAAGATTAACAGATACCGTAATTTTCACTAGCAGCTTAAAAAAATATGCTAGTTTTCTATTCAGTATGAAAATAGCAAGAAAATGTTACCAGGAGCAATCTGTATTTTGCATCCAGATTCCTGCTGTATGCGTGAGATCTGTTCACCTCCTCTGCCAATTACTAATAAGAAAAAAAATTATTTTTTGAAAGATTGTAAGGTACATTTTGATTATGTTTTCAAGGCTTTAAAAATTAGGTTACTTACTAAATCCAACCATTCCATCTGGAACTTTGTATTCTTCTGTCATTACAGACCTGCTAAAAAAGAACAGAAACTAATATTTTCCTTCAAAGAAAGGTAATCTGTTTACCTACAAGAGGTGCTGTACTGATAAAAATGGAAGTCTGATGGCTCATAATGGCTCAAACCAGGGTTCCAGGAACATGTTTGTAATTAAAATATGTATTGAGAAGTTAAAATCAGAATCTTACTTAAGGTGACACAGATCAAGTGAGGAGAGTATGGTGGATTAAACGGTCTGAAGGCATGCAAAGAAGCTGGAGTGAAGTCCTGCCTGGTGTGGCTCAGTGCATTGAGCTCTGGCCTGCAAACTAAAGGGGCTCAAGTTGATTTCCAGTCAGGGCACATGCCTGGGTTGTGGGCCAGGTTCTCAGTAGGGGGTGCGCAAAAGGCAACGACACAATGTTGCTCTCCCACACTTGCCCCTCTCTAAAAAAAGTTGGAGTTTGGGGAATGTTATCTTAACTGGTATTTTAATTTGCCTTAGTTCTTCTAAAATATGGCTAGTTACACCCATCCTTCCAAACTATAAATGTACCTCACTCAAGAACAAAAATGATCATTCTGTATTACTTTCTTAAGCCAAAGGAAATGAACTATATATACAAAAAAAAAAAAACCACCACCACCAAAAACAAAAAAAAACAGAGGCAGACATATGCTCACCATAAACCAACATGATTTGTGTTTTTTACATACAGTCACACTAAAACTTGCAATGTTCTCTTTGCAGAGCATATGACTATACCTTTGCTGCTGATGCATCGGTGGTAACTGAGTCCCAAAAGCTATCAAAAAATTAAAGAAGAAATGAAAATTTTAAATTTAAGTTCACAGATATTTAATAATACATCTTATCAAGCAATTCTGAAATCTTTCCCTGATGCACAGACAACACCTTGAAGAGAGTAAAATTTTATGCAGAATACTTAAATCAACACTGCCAGTGGGCAAAAAAGACAGTGATGGGGCAGGCATCACTAGCAATGATGTGAGGGTAGACGGGTGGGAGGGGAGGTAGGTAGGTAGGAGAAAACTGTCTGTTTTCAATGGGTCAAAACACAGATTAAGAATTGGGAGTAATAAAATAAATTACATAAAACAATTTAGTGGACACACCTTATTAATATATACCTGGTCATAATCGAAGTGGGAGATCACACAGACAGGAGGTACATATTTACAAATAAATTCATTCTAAAATAATATTCATGGTTTTCAACCAACTTCAAAGATATTCCCAAAAGTAACAAAACCCTGATTAAAATCCCATTACTTTATTTTTTAACCCAGCTTCAAATAATAAATACTTACAGTCATTTTGAGGAGCAACTTTCTTAGCATCTGGTTGATCTGCAAAATTAAGAGCCTTTTAATTTTTTGCCAGTAAGTACAAATATAAGACGCAGTTCCCCCTGCCCAAGCAAGAATAAATATCAATATAAACATTTATTGAGATAGCTGAGGGTATGGTGTCACTTGAACCAAAAGTGCCAAAACTCAGCCCAAGTTCTTCACATTTAAAATGCACAGACATTTTAAAAAACATTCTTTTGGATTGTATCAAATCACTGACCTTAATGTATGTTAAGCACTTTAGAATGTTACAAGACAAAGTATTTAGGTCCGTTACTAGCAAAATATCACATGCTAAAGGCTAATGATGCTTCTCACTGTAGAAATTGAAGACTGGAAGAAAAAAAAAACCTATCAAAATGTGAATATTTGACATATCAAAGTTGAGTGTATTTGACAGTGACCACAAAGCTATGCAAAATAAATTTTAAAATGACATTACAAGGCAATCTCAATCTAAACTCTTCTGCTGTTCTTCACCAAACATTTCAAGGCATAAACTTCAGCAGAAACTCAAAGCAACTACACAATTACCTTCATCTACATCCTTTACACAGATGAATACAATGCATACCTTAGAATAGACAACTGATAGCTCGAAGTACTACATTCTCCTCCCCCCTTCAAACTTAAATGATTAAACATCAGAATGTTGTGCAGCAAAAATTCAGACACATAATCCAAGAAATATTGTGTCCATATAAGAATCCACTGGTTTATTTCACGTTTACATACTAAACACAGGTAATAAATAAAAATTCCTGCCTTTAAAAGGAGAGGGCATTCCCTCCCAGTGTGTTGTACTGCTCGGACTTGTCCAAGAGCCATCTACACATAAAATAAAAAGAATACATTACATACAACATCTGAAGCATCATTAGCTCATTTTTTTTGTATATTAAAACCTCACTATATGTGAAAGTCACTTAGTAAAACCTAGTACTCCTGTTCAAAAGCTACAAATACATTCGATAGGCTCATTCAGAATCCTCCTTTTAAAAAAATAAAAATAAAAGGGCAAAAAGAAATTGTATCAAAATTCATACATCAAATCTAAAACAAAAGTATGTGCTGACTTCTAAGTTTGGGGGCTTCAACAATTACTATTATTATTTATATATATTTTTTAAATACAAGGCACTGTAAATCTACTGCTTTAAGCCACATTGAGTTAAACCTGAAACACAAAACAAGGTACTAAAACAAACAAAAATTAACAAAAAATGGTATAACTTGCAACACACTAGAGTAGCAAACTAAAGCAACTTCAACCCTTAAAGTGAAACCTGAAGTAGCAAAACAATGAATATACAGCATATAAAGATTAATTCATGAATGATGAGAAAAACTTATGAAATGCCTCCTAAGCATTTTGTTTATATTTTTGTCCTCCCCACCCCCACAGTATGTTAACAAGTTGTCTGTGCAAACTGTCAATCTGGCACAATCTTAAAAGAAGAAAAATGATGTTTTTCTAGTAAGTCAAAACTGGCTGGTTGACTCACATTTTACCTACCTTGTCTAGGTCTCTTTTCCCCCCTTTCCTTTTGAGGCCATTATAAACCTTACAATTTTGGGAACCATATGATAAAACTAGTATTTCAGTAAAAGAACATTTGAAAAAAATAAAAAACTACTTCAACTAAACTGTATAAAACAATTAAAATACTTATGGCTAAAACTTACCTCCATCTTCCAAAGGCCTTTTTTGTCCCCCATAACCATAGTCATTTGAATTCAGTGTTGTACCAGCATCACCTCCAATTTTTGCTGCAATCTTAGAAAACACAAACATACTATTATTAAGAATAGCAATAACTACTATGCACTATTCAGTATTCAATTTCTTCATACAATTCCTAATACATATATGCACCAAATATCTATCACATAAAAATTACTGATAGACAAATTAAAAATATAGTTCATTACTACCACTAGTAACTCCACAGACTTAAAATCATCTCAAATTAATCTTCTGATGCATCTCTGTAAGAATAAGCAGAGAAGTAATCAATTAGGAACCTTTAGAAGACTGACCAACGCAATTTTGAAGAAAATATTGCTCCTAATTCTGTCTTCGTCACAACTGTCTCCCATGACTCTTCAAAAGATGTGTGAGCATAAGGGATGTGAAAACCTTGTGAACACCCTGTGAGACTCTAAGGCTGTGCTGTCTAATTAAAAAGGGCAGACACTAACCACATGTTTTGGGTTGTAAAAACAGCCCAAATTGGAGATGTACTCTGAAGTGTAAAATATACAGATATTGAAAACTTGAAAGTAATATAAAGAAGGCAGCTATGGCTGGTATGGCTCAGTAGACTGAGCACCAGCCTGCGAACCTAAAGGTCACCAGTTTGATTCCCTGTCAGGCAACATGACTGGGTTGTGGGCCAGGTCCCCAGTTAAGGGTGAGCAGGAAGCAACCAACTGATGTTTTTTACTCTTTCTCCCTCCCTTCTTCTCTTTCTGAAAATAAAATCTTTTAAAAAATACACAAAGCAAAACATCTCAAAATTTTTTTATATTGAACACATTGAAATGGTAATATTTTAGGTATGTTGGATTAAATAAAATGTGAGTTGAATTATATTCCTATTGGACAGTACTGCTCCAAGGAAACACAGGGTGGGGGAGTCTGGCAAGATGTCTCAGAAATAAAGCCTGAAGTCATTTTATCCTTAAAAACTTAACTTTAGAGTGAGGCAAGTAATTGCTGGCACTTGACTAACAAACATACAAGAAACGCCAGCTTCAAGTCACAAGTAGGGCTCAATCAATGGATATTTGGTGTATTTTTCTATGAAAGAGGATATGGAATATTGCGAAGTGCCAGCAACAGGCCAAACTCCACACTATAAGATGTTCACACTCATTTTGTCATTGAGTAATAATAACAACCCTTTGAGGTAGAGAATGAGACAGCGATCCACTTTACAGTTTTAAAAATCTGAATAGGTTAATTTACATAGTTAAGTAAACGGTAATGTTCCAATTTATACAGTTCCATGAGAATTACTATAGGAGGGTGAATGGCTCATAAGAGTCCATATTATATTATTCTTTCAATTTTGAGTATGTCTGAAATTTTCGATAAAATATTAAATGGAAAATCTAACTTGGTGACTGAAATGCCCCCAAAGATACCCTAATGTGGAACTAAATCGTTATACCTGAAGTTTCATTATAGCTAGAAAACGAGGGAAAGCAAGAGTATATTCAGCAACTTGAGTTATAAATCCAGTACATATCAATCGAGTCATTCATATATATATATATGTGTGTATATATATGTTTCTATGTATCAACTTTATTTCCTAACGTTCCTAGATTTCCCTTTCCTCATCTGTACATGCAGACACCTATAGCAAAGCATATTAGAATTAAGTATAAAAATGCTGGATAAAACAATCTAACCTTCTTTAGTTATCTTTCACGTCTCAAAAGCCTGTCTGCATCTTTGAGTACCTAGTTAAAATCTTATTTCTTTTCTGAAAGATTTCCTCATCACACTTGAAAACAATGCCTTTTTTCTTTCTGTAAGTCTCCCCACCCTCCGAAGTGTGTACACCTTGTCTCAGAAAGGAGAGAGCATTGGAATATGTTAGACTTTGTTGCTACACCAAGCTCAAATTGTGTCAGACAGTTTTGTCCACCCTTAAGCTTTAAAGCATTTAGCATTGTTCTCTAGGAACTTAAATACACTTCCAGGTGTAGAGGAGCACTGATGTTAAGGAAAGTATTCCAGGTCAGAGAAAACAGTAATACCTAGTTAGGCTATGAATAATTTTCTATAGTTAGCTTTTATAAATGCTCCATGAATTTGCAGAGCAGGAATTTCTGCAAAGAAAGAAAGACTTATTTATGCCTCCCTAGTCATTGAATAGTTCTAAAACTATCCAAATGAAAATGAAAGTTGATACTTGGTTCAGTCTAAAGAACCAGGAACACCATCTCAAAAATTCAGAAGTAATACAAAGACATCAGAGAAGAGCTTTTAGTAAAAATACTACCAATACAGATTTGATCCATTCTCCAACATAAACAGGAAACATACATTTTCTAAGTCAGAGATTTTCAAACTTTTTCATCTCATGGCACACATAAACTAATTACCAAAATTTCATGGCACAACAAAAAAATATTTTTTGCCAATCTGACAAACAGAAAAAGTGTACTTTTGATTCATTCACACCAGAGGGCGATTATGTTGGCTGTTGTCATTTTTTGACGATCTAAGGGTGACAAGGTCAGTGTCTCTTGACTAACTACTCAGGTATTGCGTGTTTTATAATATTCTTGTGGCACTGCAGTTGAAAATCACTGTCCCAAGTCATTACAAGGAGCATTTATTTAAGAGAAATACTAGTTACTGAAATCCAACCTACAACTATATAAAATTCTTATTAATAAAATTAAGTGTAATCCATTTCTTTGATATTAACTTACAATAATTCAAACCTTCCCATTTATACCTTGGTTACTTCTGAAATGACTAAATTTTTAAAAATTTTTTGTCTTAGCATTTTTCCACCTTTCTTCTGGAGTTGAAAGGAAATTTCAGAAATTTAGTCATACCACCTTAGAGACTTTTTTTTTTAATTAAAAACTGATTCTCAGAAGTAAACTACCTAAAAGCCCAAGATGATAAACTTCTAATTTTCAGTCCACAAAATGCTTCGTCTTTGAAGTACTAATGTGATTTGGGATGGGTTGTGATTTTGGTTCAACTGCTGTGGGTCCCTGCCAAATTTTCCTATGCATTTTGTGCCTTGTTCACCTTGCCTATACAAAGGAGTAAAGAGTTTCTACACTTACCTTGTAGGACAGTTATGAGAATTAAATGAACACAAGTTTAGCACAAAGGCTAAATAGTATATAAATTGCTAGTTATTTCAACAAATTAGTATAATTCCACTATAAAGCGGAATCTACTTGACTTCAAATACTTGATTTTAAAATTTTAAGGATTTGTCCTGCTGAGGATATATATAGTTACATTCCGTTTGTGAAAACTGTGCCTGTGGGAGAATAAGGTATATAATTTCTCTTTACATCCCTAAGATCTGACATAACCACACTGTAGGCATTCAAAAAAATGAATTTCTGCAAGAATTTATCTTCAAAACAAAATTTCATTACTACTTCATTAAAGATGTTTCTTGATTCAACTCAATAAATACTGAACACCATAGGCCAGCTTTGGATGGTTCCCATGCACAAGAAACGTGAAGGTGTGTAAAGGACACTTGAAATATCACTAGGCCACCATTTTATTAACATTGTCCACTCCCTACAATACAGGAACTTTTGCTTATTGTCATAACCAAACTTTGCTATTCTATCACAAAATGTTAAAAAAAAAATACTCAAATGCTAGCTTTCACAGAAGGGATTAATGGTTTTTAAGGTCAACATTTGTACTTTATAAAATTTTTACTGCATTTAAAAAACACAACACAGTCTGAATCACTTTTACAATTATCAAGGGATACATTTCAAAAATAACTGAGTACTTAATAACTAATTTACTAGTTGATCAGAATGGATTAAGTTTGATATTTTGGCTAATTTGTGATCTACCATGCTACTCATCTAGTCTTAGCCTCTATCCAATTCACTTCTATTTTCACATGGCCTTGTAAAAAAAAAAAGTAGGTACATTTTAATTATCCAATTTTCAGAGATAGAATTTGTTATCTACTGTAATCACCAAAGATCTAAGAATCCCAACCTCATACTCTGGAGTTACTACTTGAAACACAAAAATGCAAATTTCTAAAGTGTACAGATTGGAAACCCTAAACTAGAGAAATGATCTGGTGCCTCTGTGCTGGATTGAGCTCAGAGTATTACAAGAATCTGTAAGGTTCATATTAAAAATAATTAGGATTTTCTAGAAAAAAAGATTTGGCAACTTGGTCCAAATGACCAGATGGCAACAATCAGCTAGAGTAAAAGCTACCAGTTACTAGGTAGGAACCAGGGATCCTAATCAGTAATCCTGCTTTCCTGAATAATAATTAACTGTCCAGCTAAAATTCCAATAGCATCCCCATTAGTACACAGCTCTTTTGAGAGCAAGAAGCTGTTCTTACACTTCTTCCTTGCAAAGGACATAGCATTCTTTTGGACAAAGAAATGAAACTTAAGGTTAGGTTGGAATTTTAGAAATGTAATTCAGTAATTTTCAGGAAAAAATGTTTTGAACAGTAACCTAACTTGTTCCTTCAGCCCAAGTACTCTTCCCTACATCCCACTTATAAGACAAATAGGCATCCTCAAAGGTAATCCTAAGGGCTAATTCAACTCAAAAGCTAAATATGGATATCTCAGAATTAAAATCAATTCTGTAAAGAAACAATCAAATTTTTATAGCAAATACAAATATAAAGAATCATTACAGCAGGGGCAATTGGGGCAGCTGACCTACTGGCATATAGAGTGTACCAAAAAGTTCCATAGTTGGAGGAAAATTTCCTATTAAACAAGCAGTCTAAATAAGGAAATTACAGTTCAGCCAAATAACGAAGCGCACTTTTTTATTAAAGCATGGCAACCCAAAGTCTTTTAGAAGTTGTATCCTTCTGTACCTTTTTTCACTTCATTTTTCACCCTTCTTCCCTCATCCAACACTATCCTCCATGACTTCATTTGTAGGCTCTTGTCATTGCAAAACCCCCATACCTTTGCACATGCTGCATCTTTTCTCCACCGGTCAAACTCACTCATTCTTTAATGCCTTGCTTAAAAAAAAAATTCAGTCGTTTACTTTGGCAGTTAAGCAATAAATCCCTGGTGATGTGCACAGTGCTTAACTCTGTAAATGTTTACAGGACGAGTAGACTAACAATGTATGTATTTTGTCCACTCCTATCTGAAAGCTTTAAATCAGATACAATTCATATCCATTTGGTTCCTTTAACTGCACTGTAGCTTCCTAGAAGGTAGAAATCCAATTCCACACATCTAAATATTCTCCTGTTATCTAAGTAGAGTGTGTGGTACGTATCAATTAAATATACTGGTTGAATAAAAATTCTGGGGAGTCTTCCAACCCAATCTAATAAAACCCCACTCACGGCAGTCCGGTTATTACATATATGTTTCAGTTGCTACACTAAACTTGTTCAGAATACATAAAAATGAAGTGAAAAAACTGAAGCACTAGTATTAATGATGACTTTTCGTTGACTCTCCTGAATATTCTTATAATACACAAGTACAGGCACATTTTTATCTAATATGTGTTCACGTTATAAAAATAAAAGCAATTTGTTACATCACTACCGATTTTATGGATTTTGACTCCACGAATCCTGTAACTGGAGGGTTAAAAAAAAGTTAACGAAGTGAACTCCTAACGCAAAGCATAGCACAAAATTAGTTTCTGATTACCATTCGATAACACTGGTGTCTAAAAAATGTCTAGCATCTATTATGCATAGCGTCATAACGATAAGATTTTCACTTTTGCTTGCATACAAGTCCACACCAACGTATATTTTATAGTAATAATTATAATAAAGAACTATTTAATAAAGATGAAGTTCAAATTAAGACATCTTTAAATTTCCTAAAGTACACGTGCTTTTTTTCACAGCTTTCGTTTGTGAAAGAAGGGCCTTCAGGGCAAATATATGCACCTACGTAATACAAAGAGGTCTGGTCAATTTACGACTCTGAACAGAGAGGCAGATTCAAATTGAAACTTGGAGTAAAATGGGCCTGAAGCCATTTTGAGACACAAGGGGGAAGGACTGGTTTAACACACTGACACGTAAATCCCGCCCTGAGGAAGGATTCCAATCCGGGATTTAGAGCTCTAAGTGTGAAAGTGAACTATACCAAACGATTAATTGCAAAGAGGGAGCTCGAATGAGCTATATAAACTCTGAAGACTGCTCTAAGGACATACACATACCTTTCCTTATCAGCGCTCGTCAGGGCAGATCCTAGTTCTGTCCCAAACTCATTACTAGAACCTTCCATACTATTGTGTAAAACTACGCGCGCTTCATCCTACAAGGAGCATGTTCAATCTGAGGAAAAGGAAATGCTAACTACTTGGAGAAAGAGGCGCGAGTGCCGCAGCAGCGGTGGGAAGACCTAAAGTCATCTATTTATGCATAGCTCGGGCTGGGGTTCCAACTGGTTCAGAGAGCAGGAACACGAAACCGAGCTTCAGCCTCTAACCGGTATTACCAACGTGGAGAAACGTGAGTGTCCGCACATTTCAGAGCCCGGAAGAGCAGGTCTTTCCTCTTCCTCACGCGAAGAAGTAGCGGCCTACTCAGCCAGCGGCCAATTACCATGAGCTGTCGGGATCCCGCCGCGCGATCCAGACTTACCTGCCGGGCTCTCTGCAGCGCATCTTTGAAAGCATCGTTAACTCCTCCACCACCGCCGCCGCCGCCTCCACCACCAGCTGAGGCAGAGGAAGGTGGAGGCACTGTTGAATAGTCTGCCATGTCTAACCTACTGTGCCTGCTAACGCTTCTTCGCAGAGACCTTCTCCCAGCCAACTGCTAAGAAAGAAAGAAAATGGCGGCCGTGGAGACTGTATCACATTCTTGTGCGACCATCGTGCCGTAAAGGGGCGGAGATTCGAAGAAGAAAATCTCGCGATATTTTTAAAGCAGGGGCTCTGTAGGGGGCGGGACTCAAATAAAAAGAAAGGCAGAGCGGTGTCGCGAGAATTGTATTGTGTTTAGATTTCGCGATAATATGACTTATTTTGGCGCCTCTTCACAGCGTGTTCGCATGTTAAGGCTGTGTGGCTGTTCTGCCGCGGAGTTTAAGGTTGGTGTGGCGACCGCGGTAGGTTTGAGTTTCTGAAAGCCTGAAGAAAAGTGTTTCTTAACGGTCACTGCCGAAGGAAGTTAGTGTCGGTGAATTTTACGCCAGGCGTAAATCCTCGAATCCTTGGGGAGGAGGGTGACGTCACGAGCGTAAGGACGACGCTACGGTGTCCTGAGAGCGCTGCATCCGCGGGTGCGCCTCGGAAACGCGCGCTTGGGTCGCGGCGAGGTGATGTCCCGGAAAACGTCCGCCTGATCTAGTGGGAACTCGGCATGACTTTCGGGGTAGTAAGGTGTCCCTGTATTTTACTTTTAGATTGTCAGAGTTTTGAGTTTTATCGCAAGTGGAGGTGAATTCTAGCCTGAATTCAGGCTGGAGGCCACTTAGTGCTGGAGTTGATTTATAAATTTTTGGATGTCGAGGCTGTGGCAAAATGACTGGCACTCCCTTTTACCTGTTAAAAACGTAATTGTTCCTAAAATTCAGTTTTAACCAGACTTAACCTAGTATTGCGTATGTCCAATTTTATTGCTGTCCTTATAATTAAGAACAGCATACCTTTCTTAACCCAAATTGACTTTGTAGCTTCTTGGAAAAAATTTCCCCCAGCACCGCCTTGTGGGAATTCAAATGAAAGGTAATGTTCTGAACTGTCATTTTAGGACTAGATAATTTTTTCCGCATTTTCTGTTATCTAGTTCAGTTATCAAATACTTTTATATCTTCAGACCTTGCCGAGCATATCGTGGCACGTAATCTACAGCTTTAATAGTTCCAGATTTTGAGGATGCTCTAGGAGATGATCACAGTGACTTTTTACTAATTCTTTTTTTTTTTTTTTTAAGATAACAAAGAATGAAGTAAAATGAACATTTACAAATTTGGCATTTTGTGTTTTATTAATTAGGTCTAAAAGAAAAGTACTTTTCTTCTGCTGGCCTTGGAGTAATTGAGAGTAATGCATGCTGCAGTCTTCTGATACCTAAAACTAAACTTAGGCATTTGCTCAAGGCCTAAAATAAGACAAATAACTAAACAGTTATATGCACATACGTACAAAGGGGTTATCATTTTCCTCAAGCTTTTCTACCATCGTATCCATTTATATAGTTTTGGTATGTAACTATATAGTGTTATACAGTGTTCATAGCCATCCTTTTAGATTTTGGAGGAATTTTTATTTGGAAAAGTAGTGAATGTATTGGACAACAGGTTAAACAAGCTGGTTAAAAAAAAGCAGTGTTGTGTGGTATTGCTAAATAGTGTTCTAGTTGCATTTTGAGAAAGTGTTCAAAAAATGGCATTTATTAATCAGTACTTGATTTTTTTCATCTTTCATTGGTCTTACGTTCCAGTCAGACCTTCTAATCAGCATAGAGTTAACCACAGAGTGATACAATTTATCTAAAAACAAATAAATTTTATTTCACATATAGAACAATTTTAGTTGTCTAAATATTGAAAATAAGCAAGGACACTAAGTGTATGGGTGTTTTGTTATTTTTATTGTTTTTGTTTTTTTGTAGATTCTCATGGAAGTGTGAATATGCTAGGATGGGAACCAGTTGGAATCAGTCTAGATCAGAATTTCTCAACCTCAGCACTATTAACACTTTTTAGCCAGGTAATTCTTTGTTTTGAAGTACTGCTGTGTATTGTAATATGTTTAGCATCCTTAGCCTCTAACCATAAAGGCCAGTAGCATACCTCCCCAATCCTCCAACCAATTGTGACAGCCAAAAATGTCTTCAGACATTACAAATGTCCCCTGGGAGACAAAATCATCCCACATTGAGAACCACTGATTAGCTTTGATTCCTGCCTCTACCTCTATCCATCAGGAAGACTTATTTACCATACTTCTGAACTATATTGCAAATTAATGAACTTTTCACCTCTAGTACTCCCAAAATTACCATCACCTTATTCCTGGACTGTTCAGGGGATTTTTCTGCTTCCACCCTTACATCTCTGCAATTTACTTTAAAAAATTACGGAATTTTATATGAAAAGTTTATAATATACATATAAAGTCTCAAAGGTAACAAGCACCTACATATCCACTCTCCAGAAATATTCTGCTAGAAGTAGACTGTTACTAGAATTTTTGAATTTCAGGGATCCTGCTGATTGTATTACAGTTGTTTCTTCTTAGGACAGCTTGAATGATTTCGTTAAAATGCAGATTAGATCATCCTACCTGTATCTTCAGTTTCACCTTAAATCCTGCCTCCTGGAGTGAGTGGCTTATGGGCTCCATGTAACCAGCCCACTGTCTCTGTGCCCTCTTTCCTCTTTCCCCTCCTCCCTCTTACTCCACTTCAGCTGTCTGGCCACCTTTTTGTTCATCATCTTTCCTGCCTCTGTGACTTTATACTTGCTTTTTCCTCGGCCTAGAATGCCTTTATAGACCTCATGGGTGATTTGTCTTCCTAATTCAGACTTTAGTTCAGATGTCACCTCCATAGATCATGTCTGACCTCTGGTTGTACTATTCTGCCACTTGCACAGAGATACCAATGTATCCCATTAACATGTTCTCTTTATAGCATTTATTTAAAATGTATCTAAAATTAAAGCATTTATCTAAAAATCTTATGTTTTAATGTGTTTGCTTGATTATTTTCTCTGTTCTACTAGAATATAAACTCCTGGAGGGCAAGGACCTTACATATCCCTACCATTGACCAGGCCCTAAAACAAAGTCTTAGCATTATCGATATTTGTTGAGTGAATGAATGTTGAAAAAAATCTGCCTCTACATTTTAGTTGGTTTTGTGATGTTGGGCAAGTGACTTAGTCTCTGAGCCTGGATCTTATTTACATAATAATCATAACCTGCCTTGCTCTCCTGGAAAGATATCTGTGAGCGTTTCAGAAACTAAAATGCTATGCAAATGGAAATTGGTATTACTAAACATACATTTGGCTTCTGGTATGTCATAATGTTGAAAAGATAATCCATTCCATGGTACTCTACTTCTGTAAGTTTTGGGGATTAAATGGCTATCTTCAAATCTTAGTTTTGCAAAAACTGTAACCAGTGACTTTTGATTAGGCTACATGTGAGTTTGTTCTGAGTCCACTCAATTTCAAAGCCATTTGCATTTTGCTCATTATTCTGGATAGTTTCATAACTGATGAAATCAGACTTGACTCAGTTTATTTCCTTTGCAATGTAAATTCTCTTAATAGTGGATGTATCATAACTGACCTAAAGTTAGTTTATTGTGCTTTAAGAGTTGGCTAAATACTCAGCTGAATTATATATTATAGTCACACCCTTATCACAGAAATTGGTATTCCATATTTCATCCTCAGGATGAAGCAAAAGTCAGTGTTTCTGAGCTTACAGAAGTGTAGCAGAGAACATTTAGATTTGCCAAATAAGGAAAAGATTAGTAAAGATAGTAAAAATTGGGGTATTAAATATATTGGCAAGGTTTTTCATTTTATCTTTTCTTGGTGCAGCTTTTCATTATTGGATTTGCTAAATCTGTGTGCAGTAATAACAGATTTATAGCTTATTTATAGCTTTTGGAGAAAAATCATCCAACACAGCTTTTTAAAAAGGCATTTGAGGAATGGCAAGATTGTACAGGCTTACTGCCTCAACCTTTACACTCACCCATCACCTACCTCCCAACACTTGTAGCCAGAAGTATCTGGTAACTTCATGCTGTACTCTATGTGTCATTTAAACCAAGCCTGTTTTTTCTCAGTGCATAGTCACAACAAATTCAGGATAGATAGGAGGAAAGTAGCCACTTCAAATTAAATAGTCCAAGATACTGTTCGGATATTTGATCGTTACGTTGGTCATTGGTCTTAATGACCTTTATATCTCCTCTGATTGAATTCCTAGGATTCTATTTCAGACTAAGGTATGAATGGAAGCAGGAAATATTTTCATTTTAAAGGACAGAGTTGCTAACACAAATGTAACTTTGGAACATTGTGGAAAATAACAATTTGACTAGTATCTGAAACTGGAGGCAGTTCCATATAATATATAGGACTCTGGACTTGATTCCAGAAGCTCTAGATTGAAATCTAACCCATGTGCCCTTTGGTAAGTCACACAACTTCCTATTACCAGTATACCAAAAAGGAGGTAATTTAATCTTTTCTGAAAAGTAGCCAACAGTAAAGAACTTTAAAGTGTTATGTTTTACAGTGATTTTTGTTTTCCCTTTCAGAGTATCATCTCACCCTAAATTAGAAATTTCTTCTATGATTTGGAAACCAGATTTGATGGTGTGTCCTGACTGAAGGGTTGTTAGAGGATTGATGAATACCAGGATGTTACTTGCGACCGTTGATTTGCCCTTTATCCAGCCTTTTACCCTCCCTGTCATTCCCGCTTATTCCTAACCATAGAGCCCCTGAGCCTTTGTGCCTGTTTTTCTCTTTGTCAGGAACATTTCTCACTTCTTCCATTTTACTATTGCTTATTAACTTTTTCTTTTTTCCCCCAGAAAGCCTGTCTAAAACTCTCAAATTTAGATATTTCTATTTGTTCTTATGTACAATATTATGGTAATAATACCATAAAATCATTTATTGTTTATTTGAAATTCCCACTGGATTGTAAGGTCCATGACAGTAAGGGCTACATCTATTTCTGTGCCTTTACTGTATAGCACACTCTAAAACATAACAATAGCTAATAATAGCACTATGTATAGGACAGTGTTCTAAATGCTTTCCATTTATGTAATTTATTTCCATGTATGTAATTTATTCTCACAATGGATTTATGAGATAGGTGCTATTATAATTTCCCTTTTGTTGAGGTACAAATAAGTTAACTAAGTTGCCCAAAATCACCTGTTAGTAAGTGTTAGAACTGTGATTTGAACGTAGGCAGCCTGATTTGGAAGAATGGAAGATTTATAAAAAGTCAAGTAATGAATGTTTCTCTATAATTTCTAGGATATGGTTCACAACTTACTATTTCTTACTTGGATTTTTAAAACATTTGCATTAGTTTTTATCAAGACTTAGGCCAAAATTCTTCATGGAAAGACATCTCTCAATGTAAGGTAATAAATGTAGATTACTTACAAAATTTAAAGAACCCATGTGTTTTATAGCATGATGGAAGCTGTTTGTATTAATTGCATTGGGTGGATTAGTAACCTATGGTATATAGTACTTTATGTTGTGCATACATACATACACCTATAGTATGTATATATATACATAAGTGTACATAGGTATTTGATGATGATTCGTGTTATTTTTCAAGTACATTATTCAAGGGGTTTGTTTGTTAGTCCACATCACTGAGCAGATTTTACGCTTCTTGAAGTCAAGGATAGGATTAACTAATTTTCATTTTCTTCATGTATTACCACACAGCACCTATGTAGTCTTTGTGCTGTTTTTCTGCATATTGGATTTCTCTACAAAGTAGCTCATCTACCAAAAGAATTAAGAGTTTTTAGGTTAGACTCTTCTGAGAATTCTGAGTAAAATTCTTTATAATTTAATCTTTTAGAACAATTAACTTTGGAGACAAAGCTTCTTTGTTAAAAGATAAGTTTTGTCTGCCCTTTAGGACCTCTCCAGTAAAGGTGGGAGGGAGGGGTTTGCCAAAGTACCTTTCCTGACCTTAAGGGTTTTTAAAAATCTAATGAAAAAATGTACTCCCATTACTATATCATGCAGAGAGCCTCTTTGAATGGATATAGAATGCTTGTTTAGCTAGTTACTCACATGTGTTGGCATCCTGTCTATAAGCAGGATCTGTCCTTTGACCGGGATCATAGGAAGCGAAATGCAGCATCATAGAATATGTAAGAAATTGAGAATCAATGTTTATTGAGAAAAGTTTAGATCTTCCTGCCCTTGCTGGTAAGTCATAATACTCCCAACTTCCCATTACTTTAAAGTAATGCTATGTTGAAAATTTGGTATTCCAGAAGGCATTTGTCTCAAAAAAAAAAACAAAAAACTGGCCTCTACTACAGTTTTTGAGCAGTGTTAGCTAATTCTACAGCAAACATTCACCATGCAAATAACTTATAATAAAGCAGAATGTAAAATGAAATTGCAGAATATATATATAGTTTCATAATTTGTTTTAAATTGGTTCTGTATTTATTCCCCAAATGTGTTTCCAAACCAGTATTTGCAGCTACCTCCAAAACTCATTTTACATTTTGCCTCAAAAAAAAAAGTAAAATAAATTAATATAGGTACTCTTATTCATTTATTTTGTGGTTTAAAAAATGTTTATTTTTTTCTTTCCTTTCTTGGATCATATATTTATACATCAGTTCTTTCACTTCTGTTACATTTATCTTCATGAATTCTTAGCCAACTGAAGATCCAGATTAAAAATCACCTTTTTTCATATAACAACCAGACTGACTAATTCCCACAATCTCTTACTTCATTCAGTGGTTAACTGCGTTGGATACAGGGTCACGTTTTATTTTTAAATGTGAAGGTTGAGCCCCAACCCCTACTCCCAGAGAGTAATTTAATTGATCAATACCTGTATCGGTAAAAATTTCCTAGGTTGATACTAAGTTGAGCCACACTTGAGAACTACTGAAATATTACAAGTCTACATACTTTGTGAGACTTTTGCATATTTTTAATAAACACGTACAG